AGACCATAGATTACTCAGAAACATTCTCAGCTTCCCGGGAAGCATACAGTGCAAGCAGCTGGTTAAGCCCTCAAACACTAACAAACTGACAAGATCTTTCACTGTCTATAACTGGGTACTCATTCCCACCCGGGTGAAGTGGGGGAAAACTCGTGTAAAGTGCCGTTCCCAAAGACACAACGTCGAGGCCGCGGCTCGAACCCCCCAAACCCGCAACCTCACGGTTACGAGTCCGGTAGCCTAACCACTAGACCACCGACTACAGTGGGTTTTTCACCTGTGTTCTTCACGTATAAAATGTGAAGCGTTCTGACAAAATGAGTTACTTCTCAGATTCAAGCCTTAAGGAAATAAATACATCACTCTTACAGGTAAAATTGTAACATTTTATAAGTATGAAATAATAAAAGGTATGTTATAGTTTAAGAATATGGCACCAATAGAAAATCTACAAATTTGACCCTAATGTCTATTTTTGGCCAATATCTCCATTCGTGGATTGCGAGAAGTAACTCATTTTGTCAGCATGCCTAACAAATGTCATGCCAAGGCGCAAACAGAGGACACAGGTAGGACATGAGCTGAGCACAGCCCAGTTTTGTCCTCATGTCATGAAAGACGATCAGCCAGGTTAGGCAAAGGAGCAGAGACAGTCATGAACTTCGGTTGTCTGCGGTTTTTGTTGTTTTAGCAGCTGGGCGAAGAGTCGATTCCCGAACCAATTCCCACCATTAATGGTACAGAAGAAAAGTTCCGACTCCGTTTGACGTAAACTTACGGTTACCAGTTACTTTAATCATTAAAATCTTCTTTTATATTTCAAGTATTTATTTTTTGAAAATTAAAAGTTGGTGCTTCGTAGTTTTCCGAAATCAAGGCTACCCCTAATCCTGGAGATGTTCAGAGCCAACTAGGTAACCACAGGGTAAGATATTATAACGTCATTAGAAAGTAAGTAATTGGGTTCGGAGTCGATTCCTACGATTCCTAGCTATCGATAATCGGGAACCTCGCCGCCCGGCACGAGCAGAAACTGTCAACACCAGCAGTTTGTTTGTTTTTTCACGCCACAGATTTCCCGGGTCACTGGCCCATGTAGATATTTTGTCTGTTTGTCTGTTTGTCTCTTTGTCTGTCCATATAAATGTTTTGTATGTTTGTCTGTCCATATGTGAGACATCGTGATGAAATCAGGGGCTCGTCAAAAGAATATTATAATCAAAGAAATTGGCCTTTATCTGAGAAACGGAAATAATTTTTTTTTAAATTTTTTTTTTTTTTTTTTTTTTTTGGGGGGGGCTCAATACCTTTTATTAACATTTTAAAACACATTTCTGTGTGGATTTTACTGAAAAACATTGATAAAAGGCACAAACAAATGTTAGGCATGCTGACAAAATGAGTTACTTCTCGCAATTCACGAATGGAGATATGGGCAAAAAATAGACATTAGGGTCAAATTTGTAGATTTTCTATTGGTGCCATATTTTTAAACTATAACATGCCTTTTATTATTTCATACTTATAAATTGTTACAATTTTACCTGTAAGAGTGATGTATCTATTTCCTTAAGGCTTGAATCTGAGAAGTAAATCATTTTGTCAGAACGCTTCACAAATGTCAATTTTTCGTTCCCAAGGACTCTCAACAAGCAATGGAAATTACAATGTACCAAACTTTGGCGGCCATTTTGTCGCTAATTTCACCTCTGAAACCAGGCGAACCCCCACCTCCTTCAATTGCAAATATTTTGACTTCTATTCAAAATAGATGGATACTTTTTTTAACCAAAAGCAAAACAAATGAAACAATGCTTCAAGATGGTCCAGTAACCCAACATGCCCACAAATTGACAAACTCCTTATTCCGCCCCGACGTGACACATAATAATATAATAATATTTTGTCTGTTTGTCTGTCTCAGTAGATGTTTTGCCTGTCCCTGTTCCCCTTCGCCAACTCTCTATCGATCGACGAAAATTTCCGTCTCCTTGCCCTTAACAATATAAACAAAGCAAGGTGTCTCCAATTATTTGTCGGCTAACAGACGTCACAGACTTCTTCCCTCTCACAGCTCGCCCTGGGGGTCTCGTGGCCTTGAGGTTATTAAGGTGCTCGCCTCTTATTCAAAGGTCCCGGGTTCGAATCCAGGGAGCGACCCCAAAATTTTCTTCTTTAAAAATGTCTCCTTTCACCTCTCTAGCTCAACATCCTAAAGTCTGCTTCGACTATCAAGGCACCCAGCAAATAGCGTGTCATAAGCGTGTGACAAACATACAAAAAAGAAGAGGAAAATAACGATAATAAGGATTAGGAAAGAAAAAGCAGCTGTTCCCTGTTGCAGTTCAGGCACAGTTATGAGCGTGAAATTGATGAATCATCCATTTACAATTACTGTGCATAAGAACATATTACTAAAGTCCCCCCTTTTAGAAATGGCCTAAAGACACTTCCGTCAGTAACACCGCCCCGGGGATTGAGCATCTAAACATTCCCAAGTCAAAATATCAGCCTATGATACAGTCTGCCATTTGGGAAATAGTTTTGAGTAAAACGGAACCCAGCGACAAATTGCGTAGACCATGTAAAAGTAAAGTTGACAGGCGGAGGTATCAGAAGAAGAAAAAGGAATAGGACCCACCAGTGGCACCCTTCAACCACCCACTTTAAAAAGGCCCCCATGCTTTTTATGACGAGCGCTAGCATAATTAGATAATTCAATAAAAGCTCCCCAGTACGTACAATCAAACATTACCACTTTTGAAAAAATGACAAGAAACTACAGAAACTTGAACAACAAACAGGAGACGTAGCCCTTCTTTCCATCACAGACAGTATTTATATATATATATAT